TGAATGTTGTTCAGGAGTCATCAGGTGAACCGGTTTAGCTCCAGCCCAGGTGGATTCACTGCAGAGGGTTCCTGGGTGAACCCCTCTGCTCCTCTGCAACATGACCTGCTGACAGGCCGTCCATCAGAGCACACTGAGCATGCTCAGATGTTGTGTCCATGTTACTGTGATTGTGTCTAAATATGTGGACGCAGTAGATTTTGAAGCTTTGGCAGCTTCGTTAATAAAGGTGAGAAAGGTTCAACTTCTAAACACGACGGCAGAGATCACCCGATCTGATCGCCGTGTCTCGTTGTGAATCTGTGTTTTCTGAGTTGAGCTGCAGAGACGAAGACAAAAAGGAAAACAGGCCGAGAGACACTGAGCTAGAGAGAGAGAGTGTAAATGGAGGAGGGTGTTGGCGTTTCTCCAACGTACATCTTTCTATATATAGAACACAGCTGAGGTCTGTTTCATTCACTTCCAAAGGTCCAGTAATGAGATGAGGGGGGGTAGAGAGACAGTCACTGAGAGAGAGAGACAGGTGTAAAATGACAGCACCTGAGGGGGCGATCGACACACTCATCCATCACTTCCTGTGTCTGTCTCATCCTTTCACCTCCTCTTCATCACATAACAATGCAGGGCAGAGAGGGGGGTTCTGGGTAATGAAGTTCTGGATTCAGCCAATCGCAGTCCGCTCGACAGACTCTGTGTTGTTTAGTTTAAACTCAGGAAGTGCGAGACTTCCCGGAACACAGGAACATCTCGTTCACACGAGGAGGCGTCCACAACGACACGCTGAAGAGGAGCCTGCACATTGGTGTTTACAGGAAACCCCCACACACGGACCAATACTTACTGTTCGATTCCCAGCACCCACTGGAGCACAAGCCAGGGGTCATCAGACCACATACCAACAAGCCAGAGAGAAGGACCAGAACCACCTGAAGGGGGCACTTACAGCCTGTGGAGACCCTAAATGGACCTTTGTGAAAACAGCCACAAGATCCAAGAAGAACAAAACTACAGGGGAGGAAAAGAAGGTCAAACGCAACAACATTGTGATTCCATACGTGTCTGGAGTATCAGAGAAACTCAGGAGGATTTTCAACAAACACAACATCCCTGTGTTTTTTAAACCCAAGAACACACTAAGACAGATGCTGGTCCACCCCAAAGACCGCACACCCAAACACAAGAAAAGCAATCTAGTGTATGCGGTCCAATGCAGTGAGGAATGCACAGACCTGTATATTGGGGAGACTAAACAACCACGACACAAACGCATGGCTCAACACAGAAGGGCCAACTCCTCAGGTCAAGACTCTGCAGTCTACTTACATCTGAAGGACAGAGGACACTCGTTTGAGGACCACCAGGTGCACATTTTAGACAGAGAAGATGGATGGTTTGAAAGAGGTGTCAAGGAAGCATCTACACCAGGGTGGAGAAGCCGTCATTGAACAGGGGAGGGGGTCTACGCCACCACTTATCCCCCACTTACAATGCTGTCCTTTCATCACTTCCCAGGAAACTCAACAAACGTAACCTATTGGCCTCAGGTGAAGATACCAACGATGGTCGTTCAGTCTCGGCCTCAGGTGAAGATACCAACGATGGTCGTTCAGTCTCGGCCTCAGGTGAAGATACCAACGATGGTCGTTCAGTCTCGGCCTCAGGTGAAGATACCAACGATGGTCGTTCAGTCTTGGCCTCAGGTGAAGATACCAACGATGGTCGTTCAGTCTTGGCCACAGGTAGTCTTAACGACCGTAACGACTGTCGTCACAGCAACAAGGAACACTAACGAACCGGCGGTATCGATGACCCGGGCCAACGACCCCACTGAGATGTCTATGAAGATTCTCAGTCGTCCAGGTCATAGTTCTCCAACGAAGGTTAAAATCAAGGGCAACTGGACTCGGTTGAAGATCCAGGTGCCCTTGATTTTAACCTTCGTTGGAGAACTATGACGTGGACGACTGAGAATCTTCATAGACGTTGTAGTTTATGGTGGCGGTTCACGGTGACACGATTGCGCTGCTCATATGACTTTTACAACTAAGTCAATAAAGCAGCCATCTTTATTTAATCCCTCGTTACTGACTCAAGTTCATTTCTTTGTCTTTATGAAACAGAGTGAAGAGTGAATTTTGACTCTACGTATGTTTGTGGATTGTGTTTTAGTTGATTCTGAGTCTTTGTGGTGTTCATGATGTGAAGGGTCCACAGCTAAAGGACTTGGACTTTCTGTCGCTCTCAGCACGGACAGTCTGAAATCGTCTCTGTGCATTTGAACTCAGTGAGAAGCTGCTGTGCTGCCTTCACTGCCCTCTGTTCCCCTGAGCGTCCTGTCAGCTGATCCTCTGGGACTCTGCTGCTGTCCTCTCCTCTCTCCCCGGAGACAGAACAAACGCTCACATTCAGGCGGGGAAGACGTTCCAACGGCCAGGAGCACTAACGAACCGGCGGTGTCACCAGCAGCCAACCAACAGCTGGGACTCCTGAAGAAGCCTGGATGGGTGAGAGACGAAATGTCTTCAACCAAGTCCAGCTCACGAACCATAATATCACGTTCACGCGTGAGGACGACATGTTTGCGACAGGTGAGGTGTACGATCTGGGTGCAGCAGCGGGAGTGCGTCGTGCGTGCAGAGGGCCGCGTGAGGCGATCTGTGTGGACACAGAGCTGTGAGTCAGCAGAGCTTCAGACTGGATCTGAGCCCGATCAGCAGACCTGATCCTCCCACTCACTAACAGCTGGACTTTAGCAGCTGAGAGACTCTGCAGTGTTGGTTTTACACAGATCAAACAAAATGATAATGATCCATCTGGACTCCACGCTCTGTGTCATCACACGCTGACTGAGTTTCTCATTCTGTTGAACCATTTCCTTTCTTCCTTTGTTCACTTTCTGTTTCACCGTCTCTGGATTCTGAGAAAAGAGTCCTGAGAGAACTTCAGCTAGGATTTTATAAATGAAACTGGAAACTAGGCAGAGATTACATTAAAGAAGCCGTGTGGTAAAGAGCACGCTGCAGCCGGGTTTGGATCAGTGGCGGCTCATCCTCACTCAGAAGCTTTGAGCGAGACGTTTCTGTGGCTGATGAACTTCCACGCCGTCGCCGTGTGAGGACGCCTCTGGACAGACGGCGGCAGGGTGAACAGGCCGCGATGTTTTGTGACAGCGGATGAGTTTGAAATATTCCCGGGTAACCAGCTCCTCCTCCTCCCCCCCTGCTGTTCGCTGCCTGACTTCTTATTGATCCCTCAGATTTCGGCCACCTGTAGTCTCAACCCACGTGTGCTGTTACCGCCACGTGTCGCCAAGTCAACCAGGAAGGATGCAGCTTTTATTGTCTGAGCCGCTGAACTGTGTGCTGAGTCTAAACCAGGTGTTCAAAACGTCGACCAATCGGTGCTTCCGGTGTGTTCGGACCTGCAGCGGCAGCCCACCAGCTGTTTTTGTTGTTTGTGTTCAGGCCTGTTTGTTGTTGTTTATTCCTGTTTGTCAGTCACATGACTCGTCTGCCCAACAGAGGCGGAGCTCTCTCCAGCTACTGGACACTTTCCCTTTTAACGCCCACTGCTGCAGACCCTGACTGTTCCTGCAGCGCCCCCCCCGGACAAACATCCCACATTACATAAAAAACACAGCTGACGGCAAGACTTGAACCAAGTCCAGGTGTTTCCACTGGACTGAGCAGGGTCACGTACAAACTGAGACGCTGCTACAGCGGGTGTGATGTGCTCCTGCGTCCCCTGCTTCCCCCTACGTGATGCCGGCCCCCTCAGATCAGCTTCTGCGTCGGGGACTCTGGTCCCGTGTAGACAGTCCACAGCGGGCCATGGGGCCCCTCATTGCTAGCATGTGTTGATGAACCCCGTCAGCGGCAGCTCTGAGCCTCCGGCGTGATTACGGGTCGGGTCACGTCTGATATGTACGGGTGGGTCCAGAACTGCTTTAGAGGTTTTCCTTTGTTCAGGTGTTGTTGAGCTTTAGTGCTGAGGGGCAGATACAGGTCTGCAAGCTGATCCCCTGGACGGTGCGCTAGCAGCTAAATGCTAACATCACGCGGCGCTCTCCCGGCTCGCCGAAGGATGGAGGATATTTCAAACGCTGGCTGGCAGCGAATGCTGGCGAGCTGCTGAATCAGGGGGGCAAGTGAGCGTTTTCTGTCACGGCAGGAAGCGTGGACGCCTGATGTGACTCCTCCCACTGAGCTGCTGTATTTGATGCCATCACGAAAAATTTACACCCAACGGCCAGAAGACCGAGGCCGGCGTGAGCTGCCGGGCGTGAGCTGCCGGGCGTGAGCTGCCGGGCGTGAGCAGCCGGGCGTGAGCAGCCGGGCGTGAGCAGCCGGGCGTGAGCTGCTGTGCTCCGTCTAAATTTAGCAGCTGCAGCACGACAGTAAATCTCTGAGGACAGCACATTTACCGTGTGTGTGTGTGTGTGTGCGTTAGTGTGTGTGTGTGTGTGTGTTTGTGTGTGTGTGTGTTTTTGTGTGTTTGTGTGTGTGTGTGTGTGTGTTAGTGTGTGTTAGTGTGTGTGTGTTAGTGTGTGTTAGTGTGTGTGTGCGTTAGTGTGTTAGTGTGTGTTAGTGTGTGTTAGTGTGTGTGTTTTAGTGTGTGTTAGTGTGTGTGTGTTAGTGTGTGTGTGCGTTAGTGTGTGTGTGTGTGTGTTAGTGTGTGTGTGCGTTAGTGTGTGTGTGTGTGTTTGTGTGTGTGCGTTAGTGTGTTAGTTTGTTAGTGTGTGTGTGTGTTTGTGTGTGTGTGTGTGTTAGTGTGTGTTAGTGTGTGTGTTAGTGTGTGTGTGCGTTAGTGTGTGTGTGTGTGTGTGTTTGTGTGTGTGTGTGTTTGTGTGTGTGTGTGTGTTTGTGTGTGTGTGTGTGTTAGTGTGTGTTAGTGTGTGTGTGTTAGTGTGTGTGCGTTAGTGTGTGTGTGTGTGTGTTTGTGTGTGTGTGTGTGTGTGTGTGTGCGTTAGTGTGTGTTAGAGTGTGTGTGTGTGTGTGTGTTTGTGTGTGTGTTAGTGTGTGTGTGCGTTAGTGTGTGTTAGTGTGTGTGTGTTAGTGTGTGTGTGCGTTAGTGTGTGTGTGTGTGTGTGTGTTTGTGTGTGTGTGTGTGTGTGTGTGTGTGTGTGTGTGTGTTTGTGTGTGTGTGTGTGTTAGTGTGTGTTAGTGTGTGTGTGTAGTGTGTGTGTGCGTTAGTGTGTGTGTGTGTGTGTGTTTTGTGTGTGTGTGTGTTAGTGTGTGTTAGTGTGTGTGTGTTTGTGTGTGTTTGTGTTAGTGTGTTAGTGTGTGTGTTTATGTGTGTTTATGTGTGTTTGTGTTAGTGTGTTAGTGTGTGTGTTTATGTGTGTTTGTGTTAGTGTGTTAGTGTGTTAGTGTGTGTGTTTATGTGTGTTTGTGTTAGTGTGTTAGTGTGTTAGTGTGTGTGTTTATGTGTGTTTGTGTTAGTGTGTTAGTGTGTTAGTGTGTTAGTGTGTGTGTGTGTGTGTGTATTTGTGTGTGTTAGTGTGTGTTAGTGTGTGTGTTTGTGTGTGTTTGTGTGTGTTTGTGTTAGTGTGTTAGTGTGTGTGTTTATGTGTGTTTATGTGTGTTTGTGTTAGTGTGTTAGTGTGTTAGTGTGTGTGTTTATGTGTGTTTGTGTTAGTGTGTTAGTGTGTTAGTGTGTGTGTTTATGTGTGTTTGTGTTAGTGTGTTAGTGTGTTAGTGTGTGTGTTTATGTGTGTTTATGTGTGTTTGTGTTAGTGTGTGTGTTTATGTTAGTGTGTGTGTGTGTGTGTGTGTGTTTATGTGTGTGTGTTAGTGTGTGTTTATGTGTGTGTGTGTTAGTGTGTGTGTGTTTATGTGTGTTTGTGTTAGTGTGTGTGTGTGTGTTTATGTGTGTTTGTGTTAGTGTGTGTGTGTGTTTATGTGTGTGTGTGTTAGTGTGTGTGTGTGGAGCACAGAGACAAACCCTGCCAGCTGAATGCCAAACACAGAGCAGTCACGCTGAGGGAATAATGAATCAGTGACATTAGCGAATAATTAACAGAGACTCATCGCAGCTGAACGGCTGATTAAACGTCACTTACTGAGTCTAATTGGTGAATTAATGAAAGAGTGTCGAGTGAAGCGGTGGAATTAGTTTCTGTACAGGTGACACGCTATCACAGACTCTGATGGGGCAGATATTAAACTGACTCGGGCTGATTTCAGATCAGCAGCTGCAGTCATGTGACCACCTTGACCACCTCGCAGAACGACGGAGCGGCCATCTGCCGTGTTGGACCAACACCAGCAGGAGAATCGGAGTTCTGCTTGCTGAGGAGAAAAATGTGTAAACTGTGTGAATTATTCACCACAGAGGTTTTTTTCTGATCCGATTTATTTTTTATTGACGTCACTTTGATATTTTCATCCTGTGTGATATTACCTGTGGTTATGAAAGTCTGGACAAACAACGTCAGACCTGCTGCCTGCCTGTCTGCCTGTCTCCTGCTCAGTTTCAGCATCTCTTTCTACCAAACACACAAAAAGAGAGGACACAGTGGACACACAGAACATCTGTCTCTCTCTCTATATATACAGCTCTGGAAGAAATTAAGAGACCACTCACTCCATATTGGTCTTAAATCAGTATCTCTACATGTATGGCAGCCATTCCATTCAGTGGCTGTTAAATTCCAACACAGGCACATCTCATTCTATGACCTGAGCCAAATCTCATTTAACGAGGAAAAGTATAATAACCACTGCTGTGGTCATCACTATCCTCTTGCAATAAGACCAGCGGGATGGCAAAAACAGTGCTAGTAGCAACTCAAAGGTCATCTGAACAGAAAAAGGAACACTTGACCATGACAAAAGAGTGAGGAAAAGAAGGATTCAATTCTGGCTTTACTGGCAGAAGGATACAGTGAGTGTCAGGTTGTTTCCATCCCTAAAATTTCAAAGATGTCTGTTCATAAGATCAAGCAACAGACATTGGGGGACAACAAAGCTACAGACTGACAGAGGCTGAAAACGATTGTCCACTGACCGCCAACTCATTCGAATTTGTCTCTCAATGAGTGTCACTGAATGAAGCATGGAAGTTATCCTGGAAGAAAACCTGATTCCCTCTGCTCAGACAGTGTTTTGAAAGCAAGACAACGCTCCTGGCCACACAGCCAGGTCAATGTGTGTGGAAGGAGGACAACCAGATCAAGACCTTGTCATGGTCAGCCCAATCTCAAGACCTGAACCCCACTGAAAACCTCTGGAATTTGATCAAGAGGAAGATGGAGGGTCACAAGCCATCCATCAAAGTTGAGCTGCTTGAATTTTTGCGCCAGGAGTGGCCCAATGTCACCCAACAGCAATGTGAAGGACTGGAGGAGAGCACGCCAAAACGCATGAAAGCTGTAATTAAAATCAGGGTTATCCCACCAAATATTGATTTCTGAACTCTTCTGAAGTTAAAATATTAGTATTGTGTTGTTTAAGAATTAATGTGAACTTGTTTTCTTTGCTTTTTGTGAGGTCTGAAAACAATGCATCTTTTTTGGTATTTTGACCAGTTGTCATTTTCTTAAAATAAATAATCTAAATGACAACATTTTTATTTGAAATGGATGGAAGAAATGTTGTGAGAATGTTGGTAGAATAAAACAAAAATGTTTATTTTAATCAAACACATACCTATAAAAAGTAAAACCAGAGAAAATGATCATTTAATTTTTTCCAGATATATATATATATTATATCTCCTGGTTAGCGCCACTACCTTTGGTACAGGTTCTGATGTGGTCTCGCTCTGTGTTTCAGGTGGTGTGTGCGTGCCTGTTGCTGAACGGACAAGTCTCTCCGGCAGAGTTAACCTGCGAGGCGCTGATCCTGCTGTCCACCAACCTGACAGGTAACTTCCTGTCTGTCTTCTTCTCCCTGGGTCTACATTTTTAATTCTCAAATAAAAGACAAATCTAGTGAAGCCCCTCCCCCCTTTTCTCTCTTAGCGAGGACGTTGGCATTACTCAACCAGACGTTCACCATCAGCAACACCTCAGGTTTGGAATCTCTCTTTTACAGAGGACAAGCTTTACTCGATCAAAATACCCAAACCTCTACATTCTCAATACTGTCTGTCTGCAGGTTTATACTGTGATCTGTCTGTGGACGGTATAGGAACCTGTTGGCCTCGCAGTGCAGCAGGAGAACTGATCTCCAGACCCTGTCCTGAACAGTTTAATGGCATCCATTACAATACCACCAGTAAGTACCAGTCTTTCTGTGTGTCTCCTCATCTCAAACACATTGAAACCCTCTACGTGTTCATATCAGAGACGAGATGTTTGTTTTACTTCAGCAAATCAGGTACACCCGACCCCTGTAGCGGGTTTCATACTTAAATGAAGACTGTGCCAGTTGATTCATGTCTGAAAAATAATAATCAGAAACAACTCAAACCACACAAACCATCAACCAATCACAATTAGCCAGAAAACAAACATCCCCTAAACCCCACAAACCATAACTCAGCTCTTTTCCATATGTGTGTTTATGTGCAGTATCTCACAAAAATGAGTCCACCCTTCACATTTGTGTAAATATCTGATTCTATCTTTTCATGTGACGACACTGAAGAAATGACCCTTTGCTCCAGTGTAAAGTAGTGAGTGTGCAGCTTGTGTAACAGTGTAAATCTGCTGTCCCCTCAAAATAACACATCACACAGCCGTTAATGTCTAAACCGCTGGTAACAACAGTGAGGACACCCCTCAGTGAAAATGTCCACATTGGGCCCAATCAGCCATTTTCCCTCCCTGGTGTCATGTGACTCGTTAGTGTTACAGGGTCTCAGGTGTGAATGTGGAGCAGGTGTGTTAAATTTGGTGTTATCGCTCTCACACTCCCTCATACTGCTCACTGGAAGTTCAACATGGCACCTCATGGCAAAGAACTCTCTGAGGATCTGAAACAAAGAACGGTTGCTCTACGTAAAGATGGCCGAGGCTATAAGAAGACCGCCAAGACCCTGAAACTGAGCTGCAGCACGGCGGCCAAGACCGTACAGCGGTTCACCAGGACAGGTTCCACTCGGACAGGCCTCCCCATGGTCGACCAGAGAAGCTGAGTGCACGTGCTCAGCGTCACATCCAGAAGTTGTCTTTGGGAAACAGACGTCTGAGTGCTGCCAGCACTGCTGCAGAGGTTGAAGAGGGGGGGGGGGGGGGTTGGCCTGTTAGGGCTCACTTTTGTAAGATACTGTACATCAAACATAGCAGTGAGTGGTTGTGTGGCCGTGTCCCAGTATTTCAACCCAATAAGTACAAATCCGTTTAGTTTTCCCCACAACACCAACCAGTTCCGTAGAGTTCACAATCACAGGAAATAATAACTCAAAACTCACCACAAACCAGACCAAGACGGGAGATCAAGTTTGCAGTGATTCAGCGTGTGTATTTGCAGCTCAATAACAGCAACCAGGTTCTTTCCAACATACAACAGGTACTGACAGTCAGTCAGAAAGTGAGACAGTCAGTCAGACAGACAGACAGACAAAACAAACAAACAGACAGACAGTCAGTCAGACAGACAGACAGACAGACAGACAGACAGACAGACAGACAAAACAAACAAACAGACAGACAGACAGTCAGTCAGACAGACAGACAGACAGACAGACAAAACAAACAAACAAACAAACAGACAGACAGACAGTCAGACAGACAGACAGACAGACAGACAAAACAAAAAAACAGACAGACAGTCAGTCAGACAGACAGACAGACAGACAGACAGACAGACAAAACAAACAAACAGACAGACAGTCAGACAGACAGACAGACAGACAGACAGACAGACAGACAAAACAAACAGACAGACAGTCAGACAGACAGACAGACAGACAGACAGACAGACAGACAGACAAAACAAACAAACAGACAGACAGTCAGTCAGACAGACAGACAGACAGACAGACAGACAGACAGACAAAACAAACAAACAGACAGACAGTCAGACAGACAGACAGACAGACAGACAGACAAAACAAACAAACAGACAGACAGAAATTCAGACAGACAGGAAGTCAGTCAGACAGACAGACAAAACAAACATTCAGACAGACAGGAAGTCAGACAGACAGACAAACAAAACAAACAAACAGACAGACAGTCAGTCAGTCAGACAGACAGACAGACAGACAAACAAAACAAACAAACAGACAGACAGACAGACAGTCAGTCAGACAGGAAGTCAGTCAGACAGACAGACAAAACAAACATTCAGACAGACAGGAAGTCAGACAGACAGACAAACAAAACAAACAAACAGACAGACAGACAGACAGACAGTCAGTCAGACAGACAGACAGACAGACAGACCAAACAAACAAACAGACAGACAGACAGTCAGTCAGACAGACAGACAAACAAAACAAACAAACAAACAGACAGACAGACATTCAGACAGACAGGAAGTCAGTCAGACAGACAGACAAAACAAACATTCAGACAGACAGGAAGTCAGTCAGACAGACAGACAAACAAAACAAACAGACAGAAAGACAGTCAGTCAGTCAGACAGACAAAACAAACAAACAGACAGACAGACAGACATTCAGACAGACAGGAAGTCAGTCAGACAGACAGACAAAACAAACATTCAGACAGACAGGAAGTCAGACAGACAGACAAACAAAACAAACAAACAGACAGACAGACAGACAGTCAGTCAGACAGACAGACAGAAAAAACAAACAGACAGACAGTCAGTCAGACAGACAGACAAAAAAAACAAACAGACAGACAGACAGTCAGTCAGTCAGTCAGACAGACAGACAGACAGACAGTCAGTCAGTCAGACAGACAGACAAAACAAACATTCAGACAGACAGGAAGTCAGACAGACAGACAAACATTCAGACAGACAGGGAGTCAGTCAGACAGACAAAACAAACAAACAAACAAACAGACAGACAGACAGTCAGTCAGACAGACAGACAGACAAAACAAACAAACAGACAGACAGACATTCAGACAGACAGGAAGTCAGTCAGACAGACAGACAAAACAAACATTCAGACAGACAGGAAGTCAGACAGACAGACAAACAAAACAAACAAACAGACAGACAGACAGTCAGTCAGACAGACAGACAGACAAAACAAACATTCAGACAGACAGGAAGTCAGACAGACAGATAACCAAAACCAAAAAAACAGACAGACAGTCAGTCAGACAGACAGACAAACAAAACAAACAGATAGACAGACAGACATTCATACAGACAGGAAGTCAGTCAGACAGACAGACAAAACAAACATTCAGACAGACAGGAAGTCAGACAGACAGACAAACAAAACAAACAAACAGACAGACAGACATTCAGACAGACAGGAAGTCAGTCAGACAGACAGACAAAACAAACATTCAGACAGACAGGAAGTCAGACAGACAGACAAACAAAACAAACAAACAGACAGACAGACAGACAGACAGACAAAACAAACAAACAGACAGACAATCAGTCAGTCAGACAGACAGACAGACAGACAAACAAAACAAACAAACAGACAGACAGACATTCAGACAGACAGGAAGTCAGTCAGACAGACAGACAAACAAAACAAACAAACAGACAGACAGACAGTCAGACAGACAGACAGGAAGTCAGTCAGAAAGACAGACAGACAAAACAAACATTCAGACAGACAGGAAGTCAGACAGACAGACAAACAAAACAAACAAACAGTCAGTCAGTCAGTCAGTCAGTCAGTCAGTCAGTCAGTCAGTCAGACAGACAGACAGACAGACAGACAGACAGACAGACAGACAGACAGACAGACAGACAGACAGACAAAACAAACAAACAAACAAACAAACAAACAAACAGACAGACAGACAGACATTCAGACAGACAGGAAGTCAGTCAGACAGACAGACAAAACAAACATTCAGACAGACAGGAAGTCAGACAGACAGACAAACAAAACAAACAAACAGACAGACAGACAGTCAGACAGGAAGTCAGTCAGACAGACAGACAAAACAAACATTCAGACAGACAGGAAGTCAGACAGACAGACAGACAAACAAAACAAACAAACAGACAGACAGACAGACAGTCAGTCAGACAGACAGACAGACAGACAGACAAAACAAACAAACAGACAGACAGTCAGTCAGACAGACAGACAAACAAAACAAACAAACAGACAGACAGACATTCAGACAGACAGGAAGTCAGTCAGACAGACAGACAAAACAAACATTCAGACAGACAGGAAGTCAGACAGACAGACAAACAAAACAAACAGACAGACAGACAGTCAGACAGACAGGAAGTCAGTCAGACAGACAGACAAAACAAACATTCAGACAGACAGGAAGTCAGACAGACAGACAAACAAAACAAACAAACAGACAGACAGACAGTCAGTCAGTCAGACAGACAGACAGACAGACAAAACAAACAAACAGACAGACAGTCAGTCAGACAGACAGACAAACAAAACAAACAAACAAACAAACAGACAGACAGACATTCAGACAGACAGGAAGTCAGTCAGACAGACAGACAAAACAAACATTCAGACAGACAGGAAGTCAGACAGACAGACAAACAAAACAAACAAACAGACAGACAGACAGTCAGTGAGTCAGACAGACAGACAGACAGACAAAACAAACAAACAGACAGACAGACAGACAGACAAACATTCAGACAGACAGGGAGTCAGTCAGACAGACAGACAGACAAACATTCAGACAGACAGGAAGTCAGTCAGAAAGACAGACAAAACAAACATTCAGACAGGAAGTCAGACAGACAGACAAACATTCAGACAGACAGGGAGTCAGTCAGACAAACAAACAAAACAAACAGACAGACAGGAAGTCAGTCAGTCAGACAGACAGACAGACAGACAGACATTCAGACAGACAGGGAGTCAGTCAGACAGACAAACAAAACAAACAGACAGACAGGAAGTCAGTCAGTCAGACAGACAGACAGAAAGACAAACATTCAGACAGACAGGGAGTCAGTCAGACAGACAGACAGACAGACAGACAGACAGGAAGTCAGTCAGACAGACAAACAAAACAAACAGACAGACAGGAAGTCAGTCAGTCAGACAGACAGACAAACATTCAGACAGACAGACAGTAAGACAAACAGTCAGACAGTAAGACAAACAGACAGACAAACAGTCAGACAGACAAACATTCAGACAGACAGACAGTAAGACAAACAGTCAGACAAACAGT